AAAGTCCTTGACTAGTGTAAGCACTACTTAGCAACAACTGAAACATCAGCGTGTTATCAACATTATTCTCATCCTAAATCCAAACCACAGCACTATACCAGCTACTAGGAAGAAAATTAACTCTATCCCAGCCGAAACCATGACAGTTGTTTTCTGTAAAGTTTCTGCCCTGGCCTGGGGAAGGCTTTGTGCTAGGAAACACTTGAAAGTGTCTCTGAGGATGGGTGATGTGAATGACAGTTTCTAGCACTGCAGATTGTTTTCAGTTTTATTAATCAAACTGGTGCTTCCACTGTAGAAATAAAATAGATATGGGGATAAGATTATTTCCCCCCATAGGCATGGAGTGATTTGTCTTAGCAGCAATCTTCTGTAAGCAGTGCTCAGAAGTGACTGATGTAAGCTGTCCAGAGTTTTATTACCTACTTTCATACAGATTCCATCAACACAGTACCAGAACACAGTTAATGTCATTCAGGCAGTAGACACACAGTTCTTCAAGAAACCAGTGCCATTGAGAGAGAGAAAAAGGCAGACCAAGAGCCTGTGACGTAGAGTCAAAAGCTCTGAGACAAGTGTCTTTTTTAAGTAGAGGGCTTTAATGAAGTGTTTCATTATTTTACAATTTTTGTAGCAGTAACTGGGGTTGAGTCAGATTGACAGGATCCCCCTGTGCTCTTTGCTTTCAAGAGGACTCTGTTCAAGTGCAGGTGCCACTGAGCCATAAAGGTGCCTTTTAAGGTTGCCAAAATACCCCAAAGGCATAGGTTTTTAGGGGATTTATAGATGTTCTGTGGTTATTATTATTCTATCTGGTAGTTAATACAGAGTGAAAAAACTCTGGAGTATTGTGTTCACTGCAATCTCCTGTTCCAGGCTGAGTGGCTGTATATCTTGTATCTGAAACACTGTAATAATTTTCAGTGCTGTCTAGCTACTGCACTGTAATCTGATGTTAAGTATAAAAAGAAGTGTAGAAAAATATATTTCTGTGTCCATACTACATTAAAGTATGCAAGAAAAAACTGATCTACTCTGGGTATCAGAAAAAATAGGTATGTATTAACTTTGCTCTTTGATGGTGCTAATGTACTCGCTACCATAACTGTACTCTTTTTGGTGTCACAGCTGACTCAGTAATGTGCCATGACTTGGCACCCACAAGTCTCTTTTTCTGGGTTACCTACCTAGCTTTTGAGTCTATGTTATTAGATACACTTTAGAAATGGGTTTACTGAGAAGAATTTGTTTTCAGGAACACGGGTATGGAAGCAGTCCTTTCATGAAACAGATTAGGCACGTTTGTCTAATTCTTTCTCTGGCATCATGCACTATGCTGCTGTCAACCAAGGTGATTATTTAACCATAGACCTTATCTAGTCTCTATGAAAATGGTCATATCCTGACCATTTAAATGGTGACATACAGCCAGCTGTTATCCTTTGTTATTCGAATATAAGGCAAATTCACTTACCTTTTGTATTCACCAGTTTTACCTCGTTGTTCATTATTGTCCTATACTGTGATGCTGGATGTTTTTTTAAACCCTTCACTACTGCTCAATAGACAGGCTATATTAGAGACCGAATATTACATTCGTTTCTCTGTAAATATAAAATGCTAAAACACTGTAACCCTGAAGTACAATACCCCATGCTATAAATCACTATGCTTATGTGCCTCCAAGCCTACAGTTAAGTGTCTAAGCTTTTACAATGTCTAAATTCTCACTAATGCTAACAGTGGTCATCTAGAGCTATGCTGACTAAAAAAATAATAATAAATAATTCAAAAATGCCATGGCATTTATGGTCCTGAGCCTTTACATTTGCAATTTCACTCTTAACATAGCGCACACAAACAATACTGAAGCTAAGAACACTACTAAAACCACCTGAACAGTACTGTAACACATGAAATAGCTTGCACGTGTATTAGTAGAGGTAGCCTTCTGCAGTCATTATACATCTGTATATACACACACTTTTTTAAACTAGTTGCCCCTAATCTGAAGACCTGAGCACTATGTGTCTCCTAGTCTGTGTCCCTGAGTAGGTACATTATTCCATCAAAGCCTCCTTTTTGGCTGGATGAAACTGTTTAGCAAGTGTACTCTTCTATTTCTCTCCATGTAAAATGTTCTTTCTTTGCTCTCAAAGGATACATCACGATGGGATGAGGTCTTCATTTATATCTAATCTCCATACCAGGATTTTTAATGTATCTCTCATTCTTCCAAATGTAGAATTTACAGCCATTATACAACTATTGAGTGTGGTATTGCTCTAATAAGATCAATAAAGAATTACATATACTGTGAGCTTTATAACTGAAAGTGGAATACATCCATCCCTTCTATTTGAGGCAAATAGGTCCATGTGTACTTCTAGTGAAATTCTCCTAGCCTGATGAATGGATTTTCCTCAGCAAGATGTCAGTCAATGGCTAATATCATGGAGGCAGTACTCACCGGGTCAAAAGCCCAAACTGTCTTTTGAGTTTCATGTATGAAGGCCACTTCATATACTGAAACTGCTCACAAGCCATTGGTTTGATTCTACTTATTTACTTTATACTTTCTACATAACATAATAATATGTACTGTTTTGGTAGGTGCAGAGTAAGAAAAAATGAATTCAGTGTTTACAGGGATGAGTAAGTTATTGAAGGTATCAACTACACCAGGAAGATAAGTCATTCTGAGCAGAAATGAAAGAAATATTATAGGTAAGGAGCATGGATATTTCTTAGATTTGGGAAATGAACACATTGGGCTGTGTTCAGATGACTACTTGATAATGATTGTATATGATCTGAGGACTTTATTGTCCATAACAGCTGTTCATTTCAGCCCCTCTACTAGATATTGCAAGTACCAACAGCTCCACTAATAGCAGGATCATATGTGTTCTCCTAAATTCAAATCAGGCAAAGTCACCTGACTGAAGTTAAACAAATGAAGAAAGATATTTAAAAGATTGCTCAAACATTTGGGGTGGTCTGGGGAGTGCTCCTGTTACTCTTTTCAAGGAGCAGAAGTAACAAGGGTGGGTGGTAATGGGTACGTTGCTTTGTGGCAAAACAATGCATTTTAAGTGCTAAGAAAGAACAATGCAAAACCCACAGTGAAATACAGTTTGGTCACTGCCAATCCTAACAGACATAGAGAGATATAAATAGAGAGTGAATATAAATAAGGAAAGTGAATAAAACAGGTTTTGTTATGGGGCTTCACTGAATCAATCAAGTGGGGGGATTTGCAATTTCTTTGAGCTTTTTGCAAGCATGGCTATTCTATAATTCATACTGCCTAAAATGCATTGAAATATTTGTGTGAATGTGACTCATCCTTCACTTTTAATGAGAGAATTTTAAAAGATGTCCATCTAAGGAGCCTCCGGTGCTTAGGGTATAGTTGATCAAGTTCTTTCTCCACAAAATAATGTTAATAAAATGCTCCATAAACTAGGGATGACAGTAATAAACTGGGTCTTCTAAAATAACTGCAAACCATTAATGCCTACAGAGTTCATGGGTGAGAACCTGTTGTAAGCTGGAAAACCAGTTCAGACTCCTTGCATCGTGGAGATACATGATAGAGTCACATAGAGAGAATACTAAGGAAGACCCTTTTGACCTCCATATTCCAATGACGCCTCCTCTATGCAAGCTTTGGAGGGATGACTAACAACTATCATCTATTCAGCTCTTGAAGTCTGTTCGACAGATATCATCATTGCATACAGTGTGAAATTATATCTGCAACTACATCTCATAACAGAACGTGAATGGATTTCTACGTCTGTATAGATACACATAGAAAGAAATAGCCTTATTTTAATGCAAATAAAAACTTGAGTAATAACAATGATACTTATCTTCACTTACACAGCACTATTCATCTAAGATTAAGTGCTTTACATAGATGGATAAGCATAATTCTCCATTCCTAAATTCAAGGCTTCTCACTTTTTTGTTTGGCCAGCTTTGACCAACTGGAGAGCTTCTTTGGAGTGATAGATGCTTTTGCTGGAATTTTTACTGAAGAGCTTATCAATCAGACCTGAAAATCAGATCTTAAACTGGTTGCACTGATCGGAGAACTCTCCTGATGACTAGAACAACATTGTGTTTAAAGTAGAAGCCTTGAAATGGCTTCCCGAGTGCCCTGGGACTAATCAACTAGCAAGATGTACCTTACTGGAAGGTTTTTCATACAGTTCCCTGAAAGTTTTGCCTGTGCGAAGACAGTAGGAGTTTCTACAGCATGACTGTGGTGAAATAGCTAATCTAATTATATAATCAATCTCTTTCACCAAGGAAGCTTATTGAAATAGAGAATAACTATTGTCACAAGCTCACTGTCATATATGGTCCTAATGGCTCCATTCAAGCATCAGAGGTTTTGGAACTTGATTTTATGGTATGGGAAATTATCAAGATGTTTCAGTTCAAAGTGACTTGTCCCATCAAAGTTGGTCCAGATGGCAAAAATATTACCTGGCTTTGTTTCTGGTAGTCTTGGGGAGCAAACAAACCCTGATGCTCAGTTTGTGCTGCCTTACTGCTTAGTTCTGTTTCCAGATGAGGTTGAGCAGCTCTTGCAGGCAGCTTCACTGTCAGACTCATCAGGGCTTTCTGGCTGAACTCCATGCTGGTGTAGTCACTCAAGAGTGGTACTGTAATGGAAATTATTCCCTCTTTTTCAGTTGTAACTGCTTTTTCAGGGATTTCTTTGTGCCTTAGGCTTATGTCTATTTTATTGTTAGGTTCTTCTGACTGACAAGTGTCATACTTGTTGTCTTCTCTGCCATCTGTAAAGAGGTCTAGCTTCAAAGGAGCCTTTGACTCATGCTCTATGACATAAAGGCTGGTGGTATCGTCTGGCAGGGCCTGAAGCAGTGATCTTGAAATGGGTTTCCAATTAGCCTGCAAGACAAAACAAGGAGAAAGAATAATTTCAGTATCATACTTTTGCAAAGTGCAATTGGCAATTGTCGAGGACTGTTATGGAACCAGAATTGTCTCGACATTGCCGTTATACCGCCATCTTCTGGCTTCGACATTCAGCCCCCGACAAAACCGCCACAGGACGCCTGCGCAGAGACCAGGGCGCGAAAGGCGGGAGCACGAACTGCACATACGCCTGCGCAGAGACCATATGCAGATACGTTCTACACATGTGCATGGCCCTATAAAAGGAGCACGTGTGCCTTTTGAGGGTCTTCTCCTCCTACCCTGCGCACTCCTCGGAAGCTGCTCCTGTGGACACAGAGGCTGGACATTTGATCGACAGGACACCATGGACTCGGAGTGGTGGTAGCTAGTTCCCCCACGTGGCCCTCTTCTCACCTGCCTGAGCACGCTCTTTCTCTCTCTCTCTTCCACTCTCT